AATGTACATTGTGATGTAATGTCAAGTGTGTCCTGTATTTTTGTTAAAACCATCTGGCAAACCTAGAGGCTTCTGGCTGAGTCACATCCCTCCTCCTCCACTCCTGCCCTGTAGCCCGACCTCCTTATACCCGGACTCTGTGGTCCAGGAACATCCGTTTGCGGGACCACAGTGTCCCAATTAAGGGAGGTAACCTATATGACTTTCTAAAACATTTTACAATTTTGTTACTTGTTGCGCTTGTTACCTCTTAACATTCACAATGGGAGTAGAGTCCATGGGATTTCCATGGAAATAGCAGACACATAAACATGTGCATACACAGCTAATCAGTTTAATTTACTCTGTTTTATTGTATTTTGCAATATCAGTCCCAGCCCCTCTCTTACTTTACAGTCCAATCACATCACAATACTGCTTGGTAATTACTAGAGTTGTAATGCAGTATCCGTAGCATTATAATAGTTACATTCGTCCATGGGATTTCCATGGAAATAGCAGACACATAAACATGTGCATACACAGCTAATCAGTTTAATTTACTCTGTTTTATTGTATTTTGCAATATCAGTCCCAGCCCCTCTCTTACTTTACAGTCCAATCACATCACAATACTGCTTGGTAATTACTAGAGTTGTAATGCAGTATCCGTAGCATTATAATAGTTACATTCTCTGCTCTTTAATAATACAAAATATGCCACTGTTAATAATTCTTCAACGTTAATTACTTTGAATGGCTAGTAAAGGCTTGTTAGCCAATACCCACTAGCTACCCTTTTAATATTATTTTATACTTAATATATCTTAAAGAGCATTGGTTTTCAAGCCTTACAGCCCTGAAGGTCTGCAGACTGTCTAAGATTTGCAAAGGAGTCTCCATTTCCAGTTGCATTTTTTTAGCAGTCTGCAAATGAAAAAAAGATGGAAAGCCACTGTCTAGAGCAAAAGTAGGGCCTCAATTTTTTACCTCACTTACACAGGAAACATCAATAGGAATTGCACCCATGTAAATAAAAGCTAAATTGTGCCCCAGGGGTTAACAATATATGCATAATAATCGGAACCTAATGTATCTAGTATGAAATTCTAGCCCTGTTTAAATATAGAGGAGTTTTGCTACTTGACTCCTGATTGATCCATCAAGATAAATAAATGAGTGCCTAATTTTAAGCATGAGCCCCTATGTGCTCCAAGTCAGTCATGCACTTAAGTACCTTTCTAAATAAGCACCTCTGTGCTGCCTTAAACTCATTAAACTTCATTGGAGCTCCATGAGGTGTAAATTGGAGAAGAATTTGGCTGCTAAAATTCCCTTTGAGATCAACAGTACATTGATCCATCAAGATAAATAAATGAGTGCCTAATTTTAAGCATGAGCCCCTATGTGCTCCAAGTCAGTCATGCACTTAAGTACCTTTCTAAATAAGCACCTCTGTGCTGCCTTAAACTCATTAAACTTCATTGGAGCTCCATGAGGTGTAAATTGGAGAAGAATTTGGCTGCTAAAATTCCCTTTGAGATCAACAGTACTAAGAGCTGGAACAATTGTAAACAATCAGATCATGTATGTAAACAGTAACATCCTGACTTGATCCTCATTTGTTGTGTGGACTGAAGCTGTAGCCATATGAGTCCCAAGATATTGGATCTTGATCCTCATTTTTCAGACATGGCTTTCCCTGAATTCAAATGGTTAAGATAACATATGGTAATCTTTGCTTCAGCATTAGCTCAAAAGTGATCCATAAATGTTTTTACCCATCCTAATTTCACTTTATTTTAGAATAATATTTTGACAAATTTAACATTCTTAAGAATTCCGTGCCTCTAGGGCACAGCTTTATAGATATTAGTGATGAAGACAACCATACAGTACTTCAAGATGACTTAACATTCATACAAGTCTCAGGGGAGTAGCTGTGTTCATCTGTATCTGCAAAAATAATGAGGAGTCCAGTATCACTTTAAAAACTAACACCATGTCTACACTAGGAAATTATTTCAAAATAACTTATTTTGAAATAACTCTCAAAATAACTATTTTTAAATAGCGTGCCCACACTACAGAGAAGCCTTAAAATTAGTCCAAGGCAGGCTCCCTTAATAGAAATGTGCTATCTCAACTTAAAGCCCCAGGAAGCACTGGGGAGTAATTACTTTGAATGACTCTGGGAAGTAGTTATTTTGAAACAGTAGCAGTGGGGAGTGTCCACACTACTACTATTTTGAAATAACTATTACAAAATAAGTGCTATTCCTCATGGAAAGCAAGAGTTATTTCAAATAACAGGCTTGGTAGTGGGGATACCCTGCTTGTTATTTCAAAATAAGGATCTGGTCTGTATAGATCAGAGCTAAGAGATTTATTTGGGAAAAAGCTTTCATGGGTAAAAACCACTTTGTCAGATGCAAAGATGGGACTTATCAAGTGTAGGACCAGTGTTAATGAAGCCAATTCAGTCAAGATGGATGTGGCTCACTCCCAGCAGTTGATGGGAAGGTGTTACTCTTTGTAGTCTGATTTTAATTTTTTTTTTTTTTTGTAAATGGATGGCTACTTTTAAATTTGTTACTGGCTGTCCAGGGAGATTAAAGTGCTCACCAACTGTTTTTTGTATGTTACCTTTCCTGATGTCTGATTTGTGTGCATTTATTCTTTGGCACAGAGACTGTCCAGTTTGGCAAAAATACATGCTAGAGGGCATTGCTGACACACAAGTGCATATATAGTGTTGTGCTGGTGGATGAGCCCCTGATGTTGTGGCTTATATGGTAAGGTTACTTGTATAGATACATGGACCGAGCTGGCAAAAGGGTTTGTTGTAGAGATAGGTTCCTGGGTTAACGCTTCTGTAATATGGTTTGTAGCTGCTGGTAATTGCTTCAGGTTGGGGGGTTGTCTGTAGGTGGAGACTGGCCTGTCCCCCAAAGCCTGTGAGAGTGAAGGATTGTATTCCAAGATAGATTGTATATTGTCAATTAATTCAGATTTATTGCCCTTCAAGAAAAAACAGTAATGTGTGTTCATCTTAACTGAAGTGAATGTAATTTTATAATATTGCACTCACTTATACTCACCATTGCCCAATCTTCATGGTAGTGGCAGAATGTCCTGTTGAAGCTTCCTATTTCTAGTTATAGCAAAGAAGTCTCATCAGTAACTTCTGTTTTTCTCCTCTGTTCTTTTAAATGATGCATTGTATCTCTATAGAGTGCCTAATCCTGTAAGCCCTCTACGTCGGTCACTCCAACTGAAATCAGTAGGTTTTCCACATTTGAATGACCATGCAGGTTTGGGTTCTATATGTGCTCATTTTTGCTCATCACACTGCATGCAAATAGCAACAGTGAAAATAATTTTGCCCAGCTACTTAACAGAATGTGTTTATCAGATGTCTGCTTTGAGTACTTAATACATCCTTTTATCTGGTAAGGCTGAGATAACAAGACTGAAATTACACAGTATTCCTAGAGCCTGTAATTTGGAATTCAAATTTGTTCACACTTTAGTCCTAGATTGAAATGACAATGTAGTGCTGCCCCCATCAGTATTACAGGTGATAATTGGGGAAACACATTTGAAAAGATGTCTTGGTGGAAAGACATTTGAAAAGTGATAGGGGATGAAGGAAAACAACATTACAGTGCATGTGATTCAATACTGCTTTTCAGCTACAGACTACCCCAAAGCAAGCCACTTAAAATAGCTGGGGGGTGGTATCTAGATAGTAAAACTACTCAGATTAGGTCAAAGCACACCCCATTCTGCCACCTATAGTGCATATGTATGTACTGGAGGCATTGGTTTTACAAAAGAAATGTTCATGTTAATGGCTCTGTGAAAGCTGTTCTCTCATATGGCCAATAACTCCAAGAAAATATTTCCTAATACTCTAACAACCAAGTTCATGACACCAAGTCTGTCTCAAAATGCTGTCTTGGAACTATATTTGTTGCCTTTCAGGTTGCTGAAGTATGCAAAGTTTTTAACATCTCTTTAGTGTCACATGCACACTTCCTTCTAACTGGATTTTCCATTTAAATCTTACAATCACCTCCCCCCACACATGTACATATGTTCAGCATGCTAAAGATGCAAGAGCACAGCACTAAGACTTTCATAATCTAGGGACAGAAGGTTCAGATGGCAGCATAGGTGAGAATTCTGGCATGAAGGCGGCTAGGGAGCTATCTATGATCCACACTAGTTTGTTTTTCCCCTGTATTCCTGGCTCTACAGCAAGATATTGTATAATGCATTATAGGTTTACACACTATAAATGGCTAATCCAATTACCACTAAAGCAGAACCGCCCTCTCCAACATCAGGCTGCTCAAAATTCAACAGATGACCCACCACGACATAGGGATGATAGGGATTCTAGGGTGAAGGCTCCCACATGCATCATTGATCATCTGGCAACTCAGAGAGTGGAGGAGTTGTGACAGTGTCTATGTTAGATCTTATTTTAGTTTGTTTGCCTTCCCAATTTCCCTTTGTGCACGGTACTATCAAACAATAACCATAAGTTTGCTTTCCGCAAATACATCCTGAGTGGAAAAACCTCGGAGGGACGGCCCTATTAGTCTGTAACTTCAAAAACAACCAGTAATCCTGTGGCACCTTAGAGACTAGCCAAAATATATAGACTCATGAGCTTTCCCTTTGTAAAATCCACTTCATCAGATGAACTGGGGTGGAGTAGAATTTAAACTCCTTTTTGCTCACATGCACCCTCGCCCTCCTCAACTCTTTCTCAAAGTTCCTGAAGCCTGTCTCTTCCCCAGACAGCTGCCTGCCACTGACTACAGAATCTCTCGTCAGAAAGGAGCCGTCCTAGCTCTCTTCACTCCCCGCGGCCAGAGCCGATTTGCTGGGTGAATGATGCCTGTGCACCCCACTGCTGTGCCTTGCAATCCCCCCTCCGGGTGCTTGCCCCGCTAGGTTCTGCACGCCCAAGGACTGGCGGGGGAAGCCAGGAGCGGGGCGGGACTCACCATCCTCCTTCTCATCGAACACGGGTCTCTTGGAGGAAGAAGTGGTCGCTCCCATCCTCTTCTTCCACTTGCCCCAGTGAAACATTGGCAGAGGAGGCGAGCTGGCATCGCCTAGCGCCCGGTGATCTCGGCGAGCCTGGCGCGGCGGCGGCTGCAGCAGCAGGCAAACCCCCTTCGAGATGGATCTGTGCGCGCGCGCCTCCCTCTCCTGCTGTGGGCACCTCGCCTCAAGCCTCGCGCCCCCGGGCTTTTGTCTGTCCGGCACGCATGGCCCCGGCCACAGAACCTATCGCGGGCTGCAGCACACGCCCAGGCGCCTGCTCAGCGCTGCCTCCCGGCTGGGTCCTGCCCCATTGGCGGCGACGGCTGCGGAGAGCGGAGGCTGCTGGAGCCAGGGGATGCGAACAGAGTCAGGCGAACCCCTCGCCTCCTGCCGCTCAGCAAGGGCAACGCAGCCCCAGCCCGTGGGCAGCCGGAGCTTGTGGGGCTGGTGCCCTAAGTGAATGTGCGAGCGCCAGGCACTAATTACGGCTAGGTGGCGCCCGAGCTGTGCGAACAAGGGATTACCTTTAACCTTTTGAGCTCATCGAGATGCTGACTTCTGTGGGTAGCTTTGGGTACAGGGAGAATTTCATGGGTCTGAGCATGTCCCCTTTCCTCCCCCCGACCCCATGGTGATTAGAATGCTAAACCAGTTATTTTGAAGAGATTATCGATTGTGTTCGACGCAGAGTTACTAGTGAGGCGATCAAAGAGGTGGTGCGAATCACAGCTAGGGAGCAACATTGTTTTCTCCATCATGTTAGGTTAACAAGAAAAACAAGTAATGCTAACACATGAGCATTCCCCTCCTTCAGAGGTATCTGTAATGACTGATGGTAGAAGATCATTGGGTATTTTAGTCATTTGCTTACTTTGTTTTCACACCTACCAAAGACTCCACTCTCTATATATTTTTCTGTGAAAAATAAAAGTTTAGTATGGACTTTTCTTTCCTGCAACACAGAATCGAACCACTTTATTGTCAGATGCTGCAGACTGCTTGGACAGAACTCCCAGGGAGAGTTTTGCCAAAGCAAGAAATGCAGCAAGAGGTGCTTTAATAGAAAGAACAATGTTTAATTGCTGTTTAACAGGCTAATTTTAGTGGTACATTACTATCAGATAATTATGTATTTCAAGCAATTTAAATATTAATGCAGTGCTCACATTGCAACAATTCCCCCAGCGTACTATGTAGATAACATTTTTAAGGTCGCCTTGTTTTTAATTCGCTTTGCTAATTAATTCACAGTGGTTTTAAGCCTCTTGTTCAACTGTATATTTAGGTTGCATCCATAGAAAAAAATCATACAGAATATTATGGGGAATTTGTGCTCTGCATGTGTGGTAGTTGCACTTCAACTTAATCATTGTTGGTTTTCAGAATATATAAAATATTGTTAGATGACTGAAAACAAAAATATACTTTCTGGGCCTATAGTAACATTCAGATTTTATCTTTTGTTTTGTTTGTTTTGTTTTGTTCCTTTAATCAATACTGACTTGTGATTTGATGTGTATGTTCTGATAACTCAAATAACCATTCCTTCATTCCTGCATTTAGATGAATAATGTTCATCTAAGCCCTGATCCAACACAGCATTTAAAACACATGCTTAATTTTAAGCATATGAGTAGCTCCACTGAACTCAGTGGAACTACTTATGCTGGATTGAGACCACAAAGTCTAATCATTCTACTTCTACAGACCCATTGTCTATTGATATCCATGGGAGATTTGTTTTATGGGTCAGAACAAATATAGATGCAGGTGCATAATGAGGTTCCCATGATGTAGTGTATGTTAGATGTAGATTTACTTTAAGACAGATCCTGCATTTTTAATATCAATGTATGTTTTGCCTTTGATTTCAATGGGAGGAGAACTGCAACTCTTTTTTGTGCTTCTTATTCACACAAAGTTATTTCTGGTCCTGTTCAAGCATTTTTTATGCACCCAAAATACTACTAGTTTCAATTGGACTATTACTTGAATAAGACTCTAGTTAGGGGCATGTTTACATTAGGAAATTATTTTGAAATAATTATTTCAGGAGTTACTTTGAAATAGCTTCTTTCAAAATAACATGTCTACACTACAGGGAAGCCTCAAAATTGGTCTGAGGCAGGCTTCCTTAATGTGGAGTAATTACTTTGAATGACTGTGGGAAGTAGTTATTTCGAAATAGCAGTAGTGGAGTATCCACACTATTGCAATTTGAAATAACTATTTTGAAATGAGCGTTATTCTTCGTGGAAAGCAGAAATTATTGTTTTGAAATAACCAGCCTGTTATTTTGAAATAACAGGCTTGGTAGTGTGGATGCTCTGCTTGTTATTTCGAAATAAGTGGAGTTATTTTGAAATAACTCTGGTATAGACCAGGGCTAGGATGAAGGGCTCGGTTCTGCTCTTCTATTTTCAGTTATGCCAAGACCAACTTCGTTATTAGCAGATATGGCACTATTGTTTTATTTTTAAACTAGTACATCAACATTGACACAAATATGTATGGTAACCGGACTATGTTAAGCTTTTTGCCAATGTATAGTTATTTAAGAAAGCACAAGTAGAATATCGTAGTTACTGATGCTTTTTTTCACCCTATTAAGGCAAAGAAAGAGAGAGTTATTTTTCTTCAAATTTTGTGGTAACCTAAGGGCTTGATTTTAACCTTTGCATATCTCAGAAAATAAATGCTTTGTTTTATGTGAGTTCCACAGCCTTTTACAAATTTCTTTCATAGGAGCATATTTTTTTAATTGGATCTGAAGATATTATATGGTAAGTTTCAACAGAGAGAAAACATCCAGGCTGAAGTTACAAGCATAGGTTCAAAACACTGTCATGGAGATCACAGTGAAGTACAAGAACCTTCATGCCAAAACCCCCAATTCACTTTGTTTGTGCAAAGAGGGGAGTTATTCAGCTATGCACTCCCGCCCAGAAAAGAATGTCCAGCACTTACAATTTAGTTATCTCTCTTGCAAGTGTAAATTAAGTTGAAACTCGACCAGTACAATTTGGCATCTTAGATAAGAAAGAGGATACGGGCCCCTATGGGTATAAAGATGGGTCCAGCAGCACACTTTTTCTGAGCGTCAATCTACCATCTATCTGCTGGTCAGGTTAGGCGATTGGCCTCCCGAGGTTCCACGGGGATGCCCACCTCGTATTCGTCTGTACACAGAAGGGGGTAAAAATTGTTGACAGGCACAGAAGGGGGTAAAAATTGTACCTGGATGTGGTCCTTTGTCTTAAGTGTACACATAGATTTAGAGCTCTTTAAAGATTAAACTGTCACTTGGTACCATTATTTCTATTTTCTATCTTTATTTTCTTTGTAACCATTTTTAAGATCTATATTTGCTAGCAGTTAAGAAATAGAGCAATAGCCATTGTAACCATATGATTTATAAGCTTCTTTAATAAACCTGTAACTGTTTAAGCTTTTAACCTGACTCCTTCAGTTGCTGTAACAGAACCAAGCACAGTTTAAAAGAACTCCAGCTGGTTATAGGGAGCAGACACAGGCAGAGTTGGGCATTTGGATCGTGTCGCTTCCAGAGGACAGATCCATAGGGGCATCTCTCAGTCTTCCCTAGGCTGCCCGCTGTGAAGGGATCATGTATCCTAGCAGTCAAAGTCTGAGGTGTAATAAGATCTCCCTGTAAACTCTGGGGCATCTGTCAGCCTGTTAGCTGCCCACCACGAAGGGACCCTGGTCCTAGTGGTCAAAGACATGAACGTTAAACTTTTCAGGGTGCCTATCAGCCTTCCCTAGGCTGCCCGCTGCGACGGGACCTTGCGTCCCAGCAGTTGAAGACTCGGATGTAACACACACACACACACACTGCCCTGATCATCGGCTGACACCCTCTTAGGTCAAATTTATAAGCAGAGCATCCACACTACCATACCTGTTATTTTGAAATAATGGGCTGCTTATTTCAAAATCTGTACTCCTGTTTTCCTCAGAGAATAGTACTAATTTTGAAATCGTTATTTCCAAATAGCATTAGTGCAGATGCTCCGGTGCAGCTATCTCAAAATAATTGGCCTCCAGAGAGGCCTCTTGCAACTGCAGCTCTGACTGCTCTGGCCACATACATCTCCACTGCTCTCCTCCTGCTGTGGAGCTTAAAAGTCCCAGCAGTAAGAGAAGGGCTTGTGCCACATGGAAAATGGAGAAAGCCCATGCAACACAGCAGCAAGCGAGGTAGCTA